ACGAAAAATTATAGAATTTCTTTCAAACTAAAGTCTCCAAAGGATAACAAAGAAACCATTGGACCAAAGGATTTTTGCCCCATCAATAAGTGGATAAAAATATTTGTTCTTAACAACCTTATGAATCATTATTTAAGAGTGCACCTTTTAGAGCGTGAGGGGTACTAAAGTGCAATACACTGTGAAGAAAAAAATAAAGTGGATTTTTTTTTTTTTTTTTTTTTGGGTGGAGAGCATGCAGAAAATATAAATAAGTGTTTATATATGAAAACAAAATGGTATTATAACACAATTGCACAACCTATAACGTATAAAACAAAGCCAGCAGAGGAAGGTCATTAAAAAAGTATTGTATTACTAATAATAAGATAATGAAATGTTTAAGAAATCATAACTGTCGTATAAATTAATAGGGGAAGTAAAGGATATTGGAACTTTTTTTTTAGTTTCTCACAAAAATAATTGAAAAAACAGGTGCACCATGGGACAGAGAGCACACCCCAGAGGGGACACCTTGCTTCTTGAAGCAAAGCACAGTTTACCAGCCTTTCTCTATAGAGACGCTTTTTTTCAAACAATGACATCTAGTCCACCCCACACATGCCAAATCTCCTCAGTCACTATTTAAAAAAGATGGGAGTCAGAGTTACCTTCAATAGCTGAACAACAGAAGGAAGGAATAGACGTGAATCTTGAGGTGTTGTGTATGGTGAAAATTCTGCAAGGGCTTTAAGCAAATCCAGCTTGCGTTCCTCAGGCAGCTGAAAAGCAGAAAGGAGAAAAAAATTAGAAGATTAAATTTCAGACATAGGGTATTGACAAAAAATTTAGACATCAACATCAGAAGGATTATGAATAAGATCCTTCAGGCAGTACAAGGATAATGATTGCATTGTGAAGATTTCTTATATTGGAAGGCAGCCATTGAATTGGAATAAGACATCTTCAGAGGAAAAGAAATGTTCTACTTTTCATTTAAAAATAAATAATCCAACAAATAATTGGAAAATAGATTTATGTTTAACTTTATCTTCCTTTTTTTGGAAAAATTTCATGTGGAAATTTAAAAAAATTCTGCAATCGTGTTCAAATATCAATAGGGGAAAAGGATAAATTATAAACCTCAAATATAAATGCCATCTCACCCTGTTAACTATTTTTCACATGATCACCAAAACCTAAGAATATATCCAAATGCAAACATATTGAGAAAGAACAACCTTTTTCTAGAACTAAAAAAAAAAAATCATCATCAAGACTTCAAATCCACTAAGAAGTATCAAACTCTTGACTCAGCTTGGGCCAGTCATAGTAAAAAATAATATGTACACACATTGTTTGTAAAAGAGTAGTCATTGACAAATATTTTCCTTTTGATTCATGAGGGCCATAGTCAACATAGTCAGACCTCAAATGATCTGGGAAGACAACCAGCTAAGCCTGCCACATTTTGTTGCCAAAGGAACACAGAATTTCAGAAGGTGGCCACCATAGTTTGAACCAATCACTTAAGCCCATTTGTTTTTCCACTAGCTCCAATCCATAGTTATCATTTAACAATCAAAACAATCATATTCCAAAATTAGAGACATAAGGAATAAGCCTTTAAATAAAATATGATTGCAAATAGATCAGGGCTGGAAAATGGTTTATTTTACTAGGAAAAAGAACCTGTAATTTGGTTTGCATGGAGAGAAATAAAGAAATTATTATCACCTTCTCAAAAACTGGAATAACATGTTTGTTCAGATAGCTGAGGAACTTGCAACTTGACGCACCCCTCTGTATATGATGACATGGATGGTAAGTAGTCTCACAAAAGTATTAGAAACATGGTGAAATTATCATTCACTTATGTACAAGGTAAAATGTACATACCACAACAAAAGGGATAGCCATAAAAAGGCATGATATCAACCTGTCAATATGATCTGCATCTGAAACCTGCATTAAAGCCCCATTTGATGGAATGTAATTAATAAAATAGAAGTAAAAATGAAAAATGAATAGGGGAAATTATATTTGGCCGCAAATATCAAAAAGAAAACTGTTGATACTAACTCAGTAACGTGATAGTGGCAAGCAAGATAATAATTTAACTCAGACACAGTAATATCACCAAATAATCTATTGTGTCCAAAGCATGCACAAGACAATCATCGTGTTCCTCTTCATATATTTCAAATAGAGCTGTATTTTTCATTTCAGTCCTAAACCCAACTGATCTAATTAATAGTGCAGCAGACTCATGATTATGAAACTTTTACACTCTCAATCTGTCATAAAGCTTCTCAATGCACAACTGGTTATTGAAGAATCACTCTTTCCAAATTTCAAATAGGATACTGTTCAATAAACTATTTTAAATACTGTCACATTTTCCTCAAATATTACACTACTACTTGTTAAAGGAATCAATTTAAACAAAAAAAATACTTATTAATCAAACAAATGGATGTAGTAGGCACTCATGAGAGTATAAAGCTTTCATTACAGAGTGATACAGGATGGAAATGTAAAGAAATAGAGCAGAGAAATGTTAATATATATGCATCACTGCACATTATGTTAGAAAACATCATTCACAAATGTGAAAACGTTATCATAAGCGAAAGATACTCACATTGAACTGAGCATCTAAATCAGCTTGCCCTTCAATGATTCCGATAAGTTCTTTCAATCGCTCTGGGGGTGCTTTTTCTCCAAATATACTCAAACTTTTTAAGAAGTCCATAAACATTCTAAATTCAGCTCCAGTCACATCTTCTAAACTCTGAAATAAACTTAATAACATTACTTGCTCATCCACAGTAGAGCAATAAAATTAAATCTGTGTTGTATAAACTCCGAATGGATAAATAGCCAAAGAGGAAGAAGAAGCTTTAAATAGATTAAAATGTATGTATTTTTATAAGTTTACCTTTTTTATCAAATCTGTTATGTGTCTTTCCATTTCCTCTTGGAGCTTCAATAGTTCAGATTTGCTAGGGAAAACCTACAGATATAAATGGAAGATAATGATCAACTAACAATGTACAAACGAATAACTAATATTAGCTGAAAATGACATTGCTCATATCACCCTCTCACCTTATCTCTGATAAAGCTTAAGACCTTCTCACGAATAACTTCATCAGTAGTTGGTTCGTCAACACTGCCAATGTGCTTAAACAACGCTGTCAATGAGGCTGCACCATCACACACATATATAATAAGATGATAAGACTTAAAAATTTGTAGCAGAAACGTTCATGTTATTTTGAAAATTTGCATCACTGAAACTTTATGCATGATTTTTTTTTTTTTTTTTTTTTTATTAAGTTCAACGGAGTGGGGATTCAAACCTCTAGCATTGGATCAAATGACATAGCTAGTTGAGTCATGCACAAGTTTAAACTATGTATGTATCATCATGTAGACTAGAAAAAAAAAAATGGACATCATATTAAAATATTTAGTATCTACCTTTAACATCCTGCCTCAAGAGAGCCATTAGAGCTTTATGAACAGCATCACGCTCCACAAATTCCTCTAAGGTATTAAAGATCACTAAATCAGTTTTCCAATTAAGTATAGTAATCTGTAATACCTTTTAGAACTGAAAAATAATTTACCCGATGCAAGAATTTGAACAAGAATGTCAACAATTTTGCCAATATTTTCTGGTGTATCCTTGCAGAAAAGAGGAAGTCCTCGAATTGCCTGAACTCGTATCTGCAAAGTCATATAAACAGAAGAAGCCTTACAAATCAAACGTATAAAAAAAGCACTTAATAAAACCAGCTCAAGAAATGTATAGGAAAAAAAATCATCAAGAGGAGAGTGGAGAACCGCCCTAGAAACGTCCGATAACCAATCAAGCAAGCAGATTTAATAAATTTTATGTTATTTTCTTTCTTTCCGTAACTTCTTTCTTTCACAAAGTTTATCGACCATACAGGATAAGAAAAACGGATTGTGAAGTTCGAGATATACAAACCGCCAGTTCTTCTTCTTCAATCAGATCGATATGGGCGTCGATGGCAGGACCAGAAAGGCTTGGAAAGAACTTGAAGAACCTTGGAATGAGTTGAGCGGCCAATTGCTTGGCTTTGGTACTCGTTTTTGCTGCGTCTATAATCCCTTGATAATCTTTCACATGCTGAAACGAAAGGCAACAGAGTTAATCCCAGAATCAAAACCCGCCCCAACATATTTTAAAAATCTAAAAAGAAAGAGAGGCAGCGGGAATGAGCAGGAAACCTGAGACTTGTCCTCCGCCACATTGAGACGCTCGCCGAACACATAGAGCTTCTCGATGTGCAGGGCCTCTTTGGAGGGCTCACTCATTGGCGCTAACTCCAGGAATTGGAACTGCAATTCGCCAAGAAGGAGGAATGGCGGCAAAGCGAATTCGAGAAGACTGCAGGGGCAATGTATGTGCGAGAAGAGGTTGTGAACGAAGGAACAGAGAGATTTGGAAGGTTAGTGGAAAGAGTTACCGAGGGTTTTGAAGTGTTGAAAGCAAAGGAGAGAAAGGGGATGCCTGTTTCTTCCAACGTCGCGTTCGAGACATCTTAATCTGCTTCCCTAAACGACGTCGTCTTTAGCTTTCCATTTTTCTCCTTGGGCCTTTCTCAATATTAATAATAGGCATTACTAAAATGTTTTGTTTATTTTACTTTTTAATTATTTTTGCAATTTAATCATTACTGTTTTCCTTTTTTTCGTTTTATATTTTTTCCTTTTTTAGATTCTAGTTTTTCTACTTCAATTTTTTTTTTTTAACTTTCAATGTGCTAATTTATTTAGATTTTGGACGAGATTAAATTATTTGTTAATATTATCGTTGATTATATTTTTTTAAAAAATCAATGAAACACAAAGATTGTTCACTCCATTTATTTCTAGTTCTATTCAAGTATTACACTAATCTAAACATTCAAGATTCTGGAAATTTGATACATCTCAAACTACATACCTGAAAATTTTGGATCTCAATAACAGAAAGATGAAGGAAATTAAATAACTCAAAAATTATAAATTAAATTTAAAAGAAAAAAAAAATGGATCTCATAATCCAATTTTCACCCAATCAGACAAAGTTATGAGGAGCTATAAATAATAGCCTTACAAAGGCTGGTCATGTTTTCCTAAATTTCTTATTATTACCTTCAAGAAGGCACTATTTCCTGCTAAGCTCCGCAGAAATCATAAAATGGGCATTTCCAGTGCTTGTAAGACATCCTTGAACTCAAAATCACGTGTTTGTTTGTTAAACTGTTCAACCAGCTTGTACCGAGCATCGTTCAGATAGAAGGATTGTGTGGTCTCTAAAAGCCATTCTGCCTCCTGGTCGGTGAGCTTACTTGTAAACACAATATCACCTCGAATAAGCACTAGGTCCTTACTCTCTGCAAATTCTTTGTAATAGGCCACGGTGAAGTAGGGAGCTGCTTGAGTTCCTCTTGCCTTGTAATCTTCAAGGCCAGTCAAAAGGATATACGGCATTTGAACTGCAAAATGATTTGCATATATAACCGAGTTAAGCATTTAAATTGAACTATAAGCATTGCTGGCAAGACTAAATTCTATGTTTTATATCCCACAGCTCAAATATACATAAGATCTCGTTCACCAACAATTTTCCAGCACTGTTTTGATTAAGCAAGACTTCAAACTTCTAAACTATAAACAATTACAGCGAGCAAAGATAAGACCACGAAATCGTTTCATCCAGATTTAAGACCCTCTCCCATAGCAACCTGAAGTTCATTATTGTAGAAGAAACCTGATTTCTTTGAAACACCAAAGCTTGATGGTAATTCACATGTTTCTTCAAGGTTTGGTCTTTACCATCAAGCTTTGGTGTTTCAAATATATCAGGTTTATTTGAAGAAAAAATAAACCGATGGATGATTGTAGAACAACCCTTTGATTAATCCCTTGATGGTATTCTAATTTCTGTGAATATTTATTTTTTCTTCAAATATTATTCCTATTTCTATTAAACAAAGAGAAGGGGAGAAAAAGAAAGCACATCAAGGGATTAAGTAACGGCATCAAATTATATAACTTTCAGATAAGGACCCTTTCTTTCAATTAATATAAACAGATAACTTAAAGCCACGAGTTAAAGATCAAACCTTGAACAAACATGGTAGTATAACCACTTCCACGCCACAAAGGAATGACGAAGTGTCGGCTGCAAGATTGCACTAAACTTAGAACGGCAAAAATACTGAAAATGAATCAAACCGGGATTTATAAAATGTTTGATAGTTACCAATCTGATGCTCGTTGTTCCAATAAATGATATAGTTTAGCTTTCATGGATGCCCCAATATGACCTCTTCCCAAATGATACTGGTAGAGCAGAACCCGGCAAGAGAATGTGAGAATAATTGCATATATTGGAGAAAAAGTGACAACAACAAAATCATCCATGGTTTCACTCAAGTTACTAACACTGATAACATTTAACCAAGGTTTGAGTTGGTATTTACGCCCAACTAAGCTAAAAAAGATCTTCCATTGAAGAACCTCTAAATGAAAAAATGTATGCAATCATTGAAGAACAATTTACGAAGCCATTGTCGTTGCCCCAATAAATGGATTATCCATCCCAAGGGGGGCACTTTCGCTTCTCGGTTCTAGATTCTGGAAATTTTGAACATACTTTCGAAGTGTGTAGTATAAAATTCATTTCATCTGGAATTCGGAGGAGCAAGTGTCTAGATTCAAAATGGAGCTCTCTCATTCATGACTACAAATTACAAAGGTTCCGCCGATTTTAAGTTCTGACAATACTCCAAAGTACTCACATTCATGAAACCTGTCTTTTCTCGCACATTAATCTCTTCTACCAAATTAACCGATCCTAGAGATTACACATTTCAACTATAAAGAATTTTGGAATCCTACAAACAGAAACGAATATTGTGACTAAAATTCAACAAAATTAACAACAAGAAGAAGAAACCTTACATCATCCCAGATGGAAGCGAGGTCCTCCGGTGACCGATCTTTCGCCCTCTCCATATCCATAATCGAATCCAACGGCTTTTGTTGCAGAGGGGCGAACCCCGAAGCGAATCTTGAAGTCCGAAAGAAACCAATCGAACACCATTTGAGGAAATCACAAGGAATAGCTTCCTTTTGCAGTTTCTCAAGACTCACATTAGCAAAATAGGAACGAGAAGATTGTCGAACCGCCGGCGAAGCACTAGCGAGAAAATTTTTCGCAGATCCAGCAATGGTCCTTAATGTTCGTAACGAAGAGCTTCGCATCGCAGATAAATGAAATTAAAAAATCAATCGGGAAACAATACTTTTATCACATCGACCATTCACACTTCCAAACAGTTTATGTGCGATTCGAACACTAACTCCGCTTTAACATCATCCTCGCGAAAAGCGCGAGAGATAGCGGCCAGTCGACTGTCGATCGAAAAAAGGGCGCCTGAAATACGAGTCCGAAGAATGCAGGCTTTGAGTACCAAACCTGAAAGACGGCCGGCTGCTAGATTGGGCTGGACCGAGTGCATGATCCCGTTAACATCAGGCACTGGCCCATAACATTGCAATTTTTTCCATCTTATAATAAAAATTGATAATTATTATAAAACTTAAAAGGAGGAAATAAAAATAAAATAAAATAACGTGTATTATCCTCACTTTTATTGGATGCAGGAACGAGACTGGAAATAATAAAATAAAAAGGGTAAAAGAATTAACGACAAAAAAAAAAAAAAAAAAAAAAAAAAAAAAAAAAAAAAAAAAAAAAAAAAAAAAAAAAAAAAAAAACATAAAGATGTAATATATGCCGTTAGTGTTTTAACATAGCATCGACGATTGGCCGACCGGCGAGGAAGATATTGTGATAGGTCGCCTGAGTGGGATGAATGGAGTCCCAAAACACGTACTTGCTGGCATCAGGACACGTGTCGGTTTTCGGATTGCATAAGAACGATGCCTCCACATACCCACTCCCACAACATCCACTCCCAGCCTCTTCAAATCCTATCACAAATCAACACGTGTACATTATTACTTCATTTACATATATACCCTTAATATTTCAATTTTTTTTTTTTTTTAATCATTTTCATCCAAATACCATAGTTATGAAAGTTATGGATCATGTCGGCAAGTGGCTCATAAGAATCAACGTAAAAAAATTTAACGTTATCTTTGGCTAACTTTGACTGCATGGATTTCAACTCCATCCTAAGAATTTGATTGAAGCCTCTCGCAGCGGCGGAATAAGACTCGACGCAGCCCCGTGGGAGCGTGGTTTTATCAAGGTTCAAGGTGATGACTATAGGCAGGCAGCCAATTGGTGGTAGCCCCACCACCGCAATTCTTCGACCACCTTCCTCCCATAAGCCCTTTAAACAAACAATATGATTCAAAAAAAGACCATTCCTCATTTATTACCACAAATTATTCAATAAAGTTTCCACATACAAGGCAGGCATGGAAGTATGGTACCACAGTATATGAATAAAAACCACAATCCAAGCTACAAAATTTTGCCCATTATGTTTCTATTACTCATCTGTCTTGAAAGAAACGCTCGAAAGATGGGAGTACAGTTGTTTAAAATTTGCTCAAAACTAAAAGGGTAGGCTTTAAATTCCAAACAACTCATCAGACAAGTTGGAAGGAGACAGGAACAAATTGAGGAGTTCATGTTGCAGTGGCATGGCAACTACCCACTCTGCTTCATTTTGTCCCCACTCTCATTATTGACTGTCGAAAATATCGGAAGAAGAAAGAAGAGAACAACTCAAACTCACCGTTAGCATATATCTTCTTTTGATTTTTTCTTTCGAATTTTCTCTCAAAGTTTTTAAAATGCGTCAGGCTAGTCTCACCGAGATGGAGGTGGGTTGTGAAATTTCATGTCGGTTGAAAAGAAAAACCAAGTATTTTGTATACGGGTGTAGACAGGCACGTTTTAAAAAGTATTGCTGGGTGGGCAGCTCTGGCCTGAACAGTTCTAATATAACTTTCCCATAAACTTGTCCCCTAATTATGTAACCTACCAACTAGTTTGATTGCAGCAGTAGAAATGGAATGGTGGGGTCAGAGAGAAATGAACCTGAAGGAAGTCCATGAGAAGCTGAATAACGAAGCGCTGGTAAGAAGAAACAGAGTAGATTTGGCGTCGAAATGGAAGAAGAAAATAGTTCAACACAAAGTCATTTGTTCCTGCACTGACTACAAACGCTGCTTTCTTCATGTGCGCCTCGGCTCTGTCTTTGCCAATCCCCAACTCTACCCGTTTCTTGTACTCTTTCAAGTAATCCAATTGCTTTCTTACTGGAATCACATTCTGCCAACAACACATCACAAACTTAAATCTAAATATCTTTCACGTTCTTCCTCTACATCACAAACTTAAATCTAAATATCTTTCACGTTCTTCCTCTAGGTTTTATATATATTAAATTAAAATTAATGCAAAATGCAAATTCAACGAAGATGTTACAGAAATGGCTGGGGTAAGTGGGTCAAATCCAGAACCAGCCGACGCAAAACTGACTCCGGTCAATAGGTCCTTCATCTCCAGATTTGGGTCTAAATAAGGAGGAATCAACTCCTTGATGCCTGCATATGAAGCTACCCAAACAAACACAGAATTAAATAAACCAGTGTTTAGGGATTTCTAAGTTTAATTTGTCTGTGGCGGGCGTTACCGATGTAATCAGTGGCGAGTCGGCCGTTGGTGAACCTTCCGGTGGGTTCGTGGTTGAGAAAATCCCTTCCATAAGGCGGAAAGTTGCTCCGAAACACGGTAGGAATGAAGTTGTTATTTCCGGGGTCGACCGTGGAGTCTCCGAACACTAAAATAGCGGTGGTTGAAGTGTTGAAAATCCAAGAATGTTGCTGCTCCGACAAGCACCTGCCTCCGGAAACGGGCAACGTTAGAACGGCGAGGAAGCAACATAGAAGCTGAGAACGAGGAAGCGAAGGGCTTGGTTGGTGAGTAGAGGACGTCATTTCTAAGTGGGTCAGAAATGGGAAAGAAAGAGCCTATTTGACCGTTAAAATAGGTGTAAATATGGTTTATGCTCCAAATAGATAATATCATATTATTATATTATTATGTACAGTCATGTTCGTCTAATAAAAATATGAAAATTTTAAAGTATTTAATGTCAATTTACATTTTTATCCTATCAAATCATAACAAAAAAATGTGTTGGAAAAATCAGAGAAAAATATTTATATATTATAATGTATTTTTGTGGAATTCTCTAACTCTGAAGCGAGTTAGTTGTTGATCGTAAATAGCAACGGGTGGGTGTTCGTTTTAATAATTTATTTGTTACTCAACTAACAATTAATTGAATTAAATTACTATTTTGATCCATTTTATAACACTTTTAGGAAAAATAAACTATCAATTTAAAATTCTAAATAAATAATTAGAAAGAATTAGGTGGATAAGAAAATAATTAAAAAAAAGGAAATAAATGATAATAATAATAAATGCAATCGTTAAGTTATTAAATAAAATAATAGATAAGCACATAATTATTCGGTTAAGTCTAACCAATAGAATAAATTATTAAAAAAAACCAAATAATAAATTTGATGGGCTACTGGGCTGGATAAAAAGTGGGCCAAGAGCAGTGAAAGCCCAACTAAAGCGATTGTGTTGAAGCCCAAATGGATACAGAGTTGGAAACTTCTGGAAACCCAACTGTTCATTATTATGTATGGATTCAGCTCACCCAAAAATGTCAAATGTAAAAAGTCAACGCGTTCGTCCACAGGAAAGTGTTTCTAATTTCTTGAGCAAATTACATTACTTGTTTTGCTTTCCTTTGATTATACATTGAACTCACAGCTCTGCATTCCATTTATTTATGATATCTTCTTCCTCTTTTCATGCCTTTGCGTTCAAGAAAATTTTACGTCTTCTTAATTGTCAAAAGTTATTTCATTTAATGTTTGAAACATCAGTCGGACGCTATTATATATTGTATGTTTTAATTCGTTACGTAATGTCGTTAGCTTCACGATTTTTAAAACATGCTTGTTAGGGAGAAGTTTTTAAACTATTGTAACTCTCAAATGGGATCTCATAATTTACTCCATTGGAGGCCCATCGTTTTAACTGGGACACTCTGACTCCAAAGAGATGAATTATGAAATCAATTGATAAAGGAAATGAAACATTTTTTAAAAGAATGTGAAAACTATGAAGCAGTTAAAAACTTTGAAATCTTCAACCACCGGAGCATCAAAACGGCGGATTAAGGTAACACTAGACACCTTACACAGTCGGCGCGCAGCCATTTTGAGTATTTCTTAGGAACGTGTCTTTGAAATTTTAAATTCTCCGGAAAAGGAATGTCCGAGTCTGAAAGGGGTTTCTGTCTTTTGATCCATTTTCTGATAATGTCAACTCGCTTATTGCTCTGTTAAGAAATGGGAATATGGTCATTTTAAAAGAAACTCCTAAAACATTCAACAGCTCCTCTTTTTCGGAGCTACATAAAGCATTCAACTCCCTTCCAAATTCCGCTACCCATAAAGAGTCAAACAAAATCTGGTAAGAACTTGGGAGTTATTTTTCATAAATTTTTCCAATCATAAGAACCGCCAATACACACTGTATCCAGCTTATTTTTCTGGGTTGCTTCTCTGTTCATCAAATGGATAAACCCTAATTCAATGATTAGATGGGAACCACAGAAGTCAATTGAAGGGGCTTTAAATTAATCCCCCCATTACTTTCCCATTAATTTAGGTGATTACTGGATTCAAGGCCAAGTTTCCTTTTGTGTTCCTGATAGAATGGAGTGGGATTGCGCTTAATCTGAGCTGTATCAATTTCACATGGATCGCCTTTATTTATAAAGCTCGATTATCGATGCCTCTGTCTTCTTCTCTTACTTCGTTGATTCATGTGGGATCTGTGTTATAATTTGTTTACTGCAAATGGGTATCCAACAGGATCAATCTGAAGCAATCTTGGAGAATGTTTGGGCCAACTTTATAGGCCGAAGTGGATTGGATGGACAAGGCGGGAAAAAGAGTGGCAAATCTTGGACAGAGCTTCCTAGTCTTCGTTATAGAGATGGATCCATGGAGGGGGTTCTTGAGAGGCTACCAAGTCTTGGAAGATGGGTATCCATGGGAGCTGAGGCATGGGAGGAGCTGCTTGATGGGGTTGTTCCTGTTAGCAATACAAAGCAATGTTTTAATGAGAATTTGAAGAACACCCCATTTAGTAATTCTGGTTTCGATGTTGATAGAAGGCGATCCGGGAAGACGGTAGCGACGACGAAACACTACCGTGGTGTGAGGCGACGACCTTGGGGGAAATATGCAGCGGAAATTCGAGATTCGTCGAGGAAAGGCGCTCGGGTTTGGCTTGGGACATTCAAAACAGCAGAGGAAGCTGCATTGGCTTATGACAAAGCTGCACTCAGAATTAGAGGTCCAAAGGCACACCTCAATTTCCCTGTCCAGACAGTTGCTGAGGCTATGGGAATGCATTTGTCAACAAAGAATGATCATTTGCCTTCTTTTCAAGGACATGACTCTTCTTCTTACTCGCCCCTTGGCAGCATTGGAAGTGTGTCGATCACGGGCAAGCGATCGACACGGGATTGGGAAGACAATCTCAATTTTAGCATCATGGAATTGGAACAGCCAACTCTGAAGAGAACGAGCAGCACCAACAACATGTTATTCGACGATTTCCACGTTTTCGAGTTTCAAGACTTGGGGAGTGATTATTTAGACAGCTTGTTGTCTTCTTTATGATAACATCTTGTCCAAAAACTCCTCCAATTGGATCGGTAACGGCAAGGTTTTTGTCACCAAATCAATTTGTGATCCATTACTGTTTTCATAACTTCCATAATTCATTTTTAAGCTAAAACACCATTTACTCCAATCAAATTTGTCTACTTTTGTTCTATTTCTCGAAATATACACATAAAAAAGAGAGAGACGAACAATAATGAAGTAATATACCAAACTTCAATCCAATTCTATTAAGCACAATGGTGCTCCAGCTATTACCAGTCGAGTCAGTGTTCAGCTTTCCCTTCAACTGTGGAGGAGTTGTCATTGTCGTTGTCGTCATCGTCGCGGTCACTGTCACCACCGCGTGTGGGAAATTGAGAAGCACTTTGGAGCCCCTTGTAATGCCTCCAAGGAATGTTTATTGGGGAGCTTTACGAAGTTTCCATGCCCTTCCAACGAATATTTCTTTCGCTTCTTCAACCGACATCGAATCTCTTATCCACGATAAACGAAATTTATTGTTACTTGCCCAATTGCTCTAACACCAAAGGAAACAAATGTACAACCACTTCCAAATTTGAAACTTTGCCACATTTTGGGCCAAGTCCAAAGCTGATTGGGTGCGTCAGTCTCAGTGTGTGTAAGCAACAAGAGATGGGCCTTGTTTAGAGGAAAAAGTGGGTGGGAGGCTAAAAGGCAAACCCCATCTAAGCTGCTAAAGCCGAAGCCCAGACAGAAGAACTTCACCCATTTAGTTACAGAGGAGCTGATGTTTTCCTATTGTCGTTTTTCACTCATCAGCAAACCCAGTTACGAGAACATCTTCAAGAAGGTAATTTAAATTCTTTCACATTCCCGATTATGCCACAAAGGTAAGGCCTCTTCCTTTGTGTTGCAGTGGGTTCCTGAACTTAAACATTACGCTCCAAACGTCCCCATCGTTCTGGTTGGGACTAAGCTTGGTAAGAACTCCTTAACTTCACGCCATTAAACTGCAAATTGAGTGAATTATTGTAACATTCAACGAAATCAACGACTTGCAGATCTACGAGACGACAGGCAGTATCTGATTGATCATCCAAGCGCAGCGCCCATAACCACAGCTGAGGTAAAAGAATTAATCACTTGAAAAAACTGGATTCTGTTTTTGGGTTTGTTGATTGCCCTGAAGGTTGTTCTTCAGGGCGAGGAACTGAGGCGGATGATCGGGGGCATTGCATACATAGAATGCAGCTCCAAAACCCAAAAGGTATAGAGATTGATCCATAAAGGCCAAAACATTATAAGTTCCACTCAGAATCTTCCATTATAAACTCATAATCATTTTCTAAATTAGTCAACTACTAAAACTCCAAAGGAGTCGAGCCTCGATTAAGGGAAGGCGTGATTTGTTCGAGGGGAGGTGTTGGATGATGAAAGTCCCACATAGACTAATTTAAGGAATGATCATAGGTTTATAAGTGAGAAATACTAGCAAAGTCATGAGAGCTTATGCTCAAAGTGGACAATATCATACCATTGTGGAGAGTCGTGTTCGTTCTAAAACGTAAGACTCTGTTCTAAGCATACGTTAAAAATGTATTTGATGGAGCAATAAAGGTAGCATTGAGGCCTCCGCGACCAAAGAAGAAGCCTTGCAAGCAGAGGACGACTTGTGTTTTGCTTTGAAAAATAAGTTCAAATAATTGGAAAAAAAATATATTTTTCCATCCATTTAAATTATATATTTTATTATTGTGAGGAGTTTTTTAGGCATAATGGACGACGTGGGCCTTCTAGTGATGAGCCCATAAGCGCTTGGGTTGGGCCACATCAAGAACTTCCACTATCCATTGGGCTTTCATATGGTAGGTAGCCCAGTCAAACGAAATAAAGATGATTAAATTAAACGAGTTAAAACACAATAATTCCTTGGTAATTAAGTTTAGAGAATTAAAATTTTCATTAATCCCAACAACCTTGGTTTTCGTTTTCTATTGACCGCTGCCTTTTCCTATTTCCCTTTAATTAATTAATTAATAATTAAATGGTTTATTACAGTTACTAATTAGAAATTAAAAAAAAAAAAAAAGAATCAAAACGTATTCTCTAGAAGATCGTTACCCTTTTAACTTCCCAAGGTGACGCCTCCTTGATTCGCGCGGATATATATGGTATCCATAGCTAAAAAGTATATCAATATTATTTTTAAAAACATATAATATTATAATAAGAAAAAATGGGAGGTAGTTGACCATCAATCAATACACGTTTTTGTTTATTATGTTCTTTTAATTATATAATATAATTATGCTGTGTACCATATTCTATGTTTTTATTCCTTACCACAATGTTTTGTCACATTACATATGGTTTGTCCAGAGAATTAAGAAATTCACCCAACAAAATCTAACATTATGTCGTGTGAATATACAAAAAATAAAATCTCCCGAATGCGACCAAGACACGTTTATTTCCACCAAGTCCGTTAATGATTTTACTTCCAAAACGATGCGATTAACTCGTGGGAGATTATTAATTTAATATTCTTCGCTCGTAAATTCACGATTTCATTCGAAATATTATATAAGAAAAGGATAAGAAGAGGAGGGAGTGGGTGGGTGCATGAGTACAAGTGGAGTCAACAAAAAGCAATTAAACCATAGCATGTTATGTGTATTTACTGCATGCACGTTAGCATTTACTGTTGCCGCAAATTTAGCTTAGACACACATACCCACTTCCTCTTTCACCTTATATTTTAATAAATCTCCCTCTCATCTAACATTACAACTTCAAACCCCTCCCTTCTCCAATGTAATTATGGGCTGATACGAACATTTGAACCTCAAAACTTTTGATTATTGCTTAATTAGGACGAAGCGATGGGAGAGTTTCGATGATGGAAGAAAAGGGAAATGGCATAACGTGTAAAAATGGGGTTAATAAAAGAAGGGAATGGGAGGGTTTGTAAGTCTACTTCCAGTTGCTAAAATTGTTGTGTCCTTAGTTTCTGCTAACTTTGGTGTGTGTCTGCTCCAAACATAGGCGCAGATAAGGGCTTTCATCACGCTCCTCCACTGACCCATCTGATACCATCTTTCAAACGAAGGGAAGGGGGTTGTTGTGTAAGAGGAGGACACTCAGGGCCTCCTCATTGGCCTACCCCTTACCATCAATGCCCCACTGATTGATGCCTAAATCAACAAACCCTATCCCTATCTGTTTACTGCGAACACCTCATCAATGACTTCATTCACATCAACATAATCAGCTTAACAACTTACTAAAAACAGGATTTCAATTCAATATTGGTTATTTTGTACCTTCACTTTTCAGATTAAGTGAATCTAGTCTCTAAACTTCAACAAAAATTTAATCAATTTAATTTTATGTCTAATATTCATTGCTTTTATGCTTTTAACGTCAAATTCTACATCAAGTGTGGTGTTTGAACTACAAATCCATGAAGATTTTAGAATGGGATAAGAACATTAAAAACAAGATTGAAAGAATTTATAGATGTAATGAAGAGATGGCTCCCACCGGCGGGATGATGATTGATGAGGTTAGCATGTCGGAATTGCGCCGACATGAACTTCATTTTCCAACTGCTATTTGCATGGGGAGTTGGAAATACCACACTCTCTCAACACTCACACATGTGGAGATTAGGGTTTGGAGACACAAATTAATGAAATGTACATAATGGATCGAAACTTTTTTCCGTTAAGCTAAGTGAAGTGTGAGATCCCACATCAATTGAGTAGGAGAACGAAACATTCTTTCAAGGATGTGAAAACCTCTCTTAAGTAAGTGCGTTTTAAAAACCCTCTCTAGACTTGAAGGGGTGAATTGTGAGATCCCACATCGGTTGGGAGAAATGAGAGCGAAGCATTTTTTTACAACGGTGTAGAATGCTCTTATTAGCAAACGTGTTTTAAAAATATTGAGGGAAAACTCGAAAGGAAAGCTCAAATAAGACAATATCTACGTAACATAATATACGAAAATGTGGTCGAAAATATTCCATTATTTATCGTACTATGGGAGTAGGGGTACAAATGAGAAACTAAATCCTTGAGCAGCCATACCCCATGACCCAACCTTGCTTCTTTTATTTTGTCTCTTTGCCTCTCTCTCTGTCTATTAATATTGTCTCTGCAATCTGCCACCGCCACTGTGTGTGTTGCGTGCAAGCTTTGATAGTGAAAACTCACTTTCACTTAATGGTACGATCTTTACTTCCCCTACTCCTCCAAACCCCATACAATGCATTTTTCTCCTTATTATTAAGGGTTAGGACCGAGTCTACATCTCTAAAAGGACAAGACACGTCAAAGATTATTGACTAATTAAGAGAAATATCATGAGTTTATAAGTAAAAAACGTCTATCTTCCAGAACCATTGAGTTTGAAATTTTGGGTTGGGTTTTTTATGGTGTAAAAATGGTAAGTATTGTATATGTGGGGGAAGGGTTAATTAAAAAGATAAAAAGGGGACAATAAATAATAATCCCTCGAGTCAATCCAAAACTCACCTTATTTTGGCCAATATAAGTAAAGCTTGCAATTATTATACCCCATCACCATTTTCCAATCAAAATTAAGCCTCCATTTCATATTCCTATTGACTTTGAAAGGAAAAAACCCCTTATTTATGTTTTGCAACAACCCTTGCATTACAATAATCTGTATAGAAAAAAAGAAAAAAAAAGCTGTGTGTATGCTGAACAAAAGATTCTAATTCAGCCCCCAACATCCATTCCTTTTCATCTTCCCTCACCAACTTTCTTCAAAAAACCATCCAAAACAAACCCATTCCTCTCGTGGGGTTGCATAAAAATTGAATCTTTGAGTAGCCCTATAAAGTTCAAGAACAGGGTATTCAGAGACAGATATCGTCATGGCTTCATCAAACAGTCACTGGCCAAGCATGTTCAAGTCCAAACCCTGCAATTCCCATCACCAATGGCAACATGACATCAACTGCCTCAGATCTGCCCCTTACAACACAGGTTCTTCTTCAATTTCTGTCTCTCTCTGTGTTTTTTTTTTTGTAGTTATTATGTTTTGATCAATTTTTGTGTGTGGGTTTTTTACAGTTGTTGGTGGGTATGAAGAGAAAAGTCCAGACCCAAAACCAAGATGGAATCCAAAGCCTGAACAAATTAGGATTCTTGAAGCGATTTTCAATTCAGGGATGGTGAATCCTCCAAGAGATGANATTAGAAAAATTCGAGGTCAGTTACAAGAATATGGCCAAGTGGGTGATGCCAATGTTTTTTATTGGTTTCAAAACAGAAAATCAAGAAGCAAAAACAAACTCCGCCATCTCCAAAACTCCAAATCCAATCATAATTCCCCAACCACCACCACCACCACCACCGCTCCTACAACAACAACAACAAAAACAACTACTCTTTCTCCCACCGCCGCCAACCCCGCCGCCACTTGTTCTTCCTCTTCTTCCTCCGACAAATCCTCCCCCAAAATATCACCCATGAAAAGTTTTACCTCCAATTCGGTGTCTCAGAACTACCTTCAACAACCCACCAACGAGCTCTTGCCTGAATCCTTCTTCTTCCCAATGCCACAAACCGGCGACGGCGGCGGTGTAATCTCTAATTTGGGTCAAGGGTTTTGCTTTTCTGAGCTTTGTAGTGTAGTGCAGCACGTTCCTGACCATGGGTTCGAGTCTTGCACAAACCTGTTGCTGAGTGAGTCTGAGCCATTTAAGAAAGATTTGATGAAGTCACAGCCACAGCCACAGTTCATGAATTATCATCCTTATTTGAATATCTCTACGGATCAAAGCCTTCCCCAAACAACTATTTCCACCGCAATTCCTCAAGGTAAAAAAAAAAATATATATATATATTTTTTTCATTTATTTCTTAAAAGGAAGGATTTTGTGAAATGGGTTTGAGAGTAAAGGAACAAAGGATGTTAAAAAGGTAAAAAAGTTGAAATTTTTGAGAGATATGTGTATGATTTAGGTTGTGATTTGAAGAATGTAGCGTTAGATGGACGTATGCATGGGGGTTTGAGCAGGAATGATTGTGTGTTTGCAGGTGTAGGTGAAGTTTGTGGAGTAGGGGGGAAATCAACGGTGTTCATCAATGGTGTAGCGTTCGAGGTTGGTTGTGGGCCGTTTAATGTTCGTGAGGCTTTTGGTGATGATGCCGTTCTGATTCACTCCACCGGTCAGCCTGTTCTGACCAATGACTGGGGCCTCACTCTCCACTCACTCCAACATGGCGCTTACTATTATCTGGTTGGCCCTTTGCTTCTATCACCTCCTCTTTACTTTTATTACCTATTTCTTTGGTTTATGATATTCTCTTTGCATTTGCAGATATAAGAAGAAGAAGAAGAAGAAGTACTGGGAATAATGTAGCTGCTGCATGTGCTTCTTTGCTTAGTTAGGGTTTAAATTTTACTGTCTGTGACCAATCTTTATTTATAAATCCATGATGCAACCTAGTTTGTATCGTCCCTTTTATATCCAAGTTTTTTTATGTGTGCCAAAACACCACTTTCCGTCCGTGTTCATCCTGAGCCAAGATGGCTCCATGAGATTCAAAAAAAAAAAAAAAAAAGAATTTGGGCTGGGATGCACGGCCAAATTAGATGATATAATTTGTTTCTAACGCTACAAAGTTTTTAGGGTTTTTTTTTTTTTTTGTGCTTGTTTCTTGTTCTTCAAATAAAACCCTAATTTCAGTTCAAGTTGCCAAATTTGTTGAGTCAAAAAGTACTGGGTTTGCACCCACTTTAAATTAAAACCACTACCTTGGGCTAGTTAAGGCAGTGCTTAATTATTATCCCTTTTTTAATCAAATTCAGCAAGTTTTATTGCTTTGTAATCCCTGGTTTTAAATTGATTACAAATTTGGTTATGGTTTTGGTTTTTCCTTATTATAATGAAATTGATTGCTGATATCAATATATACTTTAATCATTGTTTTAAGAGTGTAATCCTTTTGAGCTTTGTTTTTTGCATACTAGTAGATCAGCTTCTTTCATAGTGAAAGAGGGATAAACAAACTCAACTCTTTCATTATACTTTTCGGAAGAAACCCGTTTAGAAACAAGATCGGATATTATTCTAGTTTGTCTTCGAGCTAAATTTGGCTCAACGGTCCGCCTATGGTAAAATACTTCCCCACATCTCTTGGTTTTTTGGATCTTCCTTATAGTATTTAATAGAGTTTATAATCTCGAGAAATAGAATCTATCGGCTCTATCAAGAAAGATTATTAACTTTTTTGAGATGGATAGATTGAGCCAATGGCTATCCAAATTTATATGCGAGAATTTTTCCTTTCCCTTAATGTAAAGAATTTTTGGTTAGCAAGGCTGCTTCATGTCACAGTCATGTTTGTCCAATGCGTGTTGTTTGTGGCCGCTTGTCAAATGTTCCGATCATACTTGTCTAGGGCGTCTTATTCATGGTTGTATGCTCGTTCCAAACCCTTTTTCCTTGTCATCATGTGTAGTTAGGTCTTTACTATTCATGTCATATCAATACAAGGGTGTGTGACAGCTCACCAAAATCATGTCTACATTTGTCATGACTAAAATGCTCGAAACTGTACTATGGGGATACACTATCAAAGTTGTGGTTGTTGCTAATTCGCTTTTAGTTTATAGCATCGATTTCTTTCAACCTATTTCTAACGCATTTTCTCGCTCACGTTTTCTAAAACATTTATGCCAAATATGATTCAAGGCTCATTATACATTAAGATTGTCGGTAAAATTCAAATTTTCACACGACTGACTTGTTCGAACAAAATTCGAACGATGATTATCCCACCATACAAGATATTGAATTTTGTAGTGGTATGTGGTTTATACAAGATATTGAATTTAAATAAGTGGGACAACAAGTAATAGCAACCAATAAAACATGCAGGAGTAGCCCTGCCTTTCTTTCTTTTTTTAAGCCTTTTAGGAATATTGAATGAACCATCAGGTTTGACCTTCTTCTTCCTCATCATCATCATCATCAAAGGCGACAGATGAGGATTGTTTGGGAGTTTGGCAGAGCAGAACAGTCGAGCTGATTGGATTGTTCTTCCATTTTCTGCCACATTTTGCTGCAAATTTGGAACCCTTTTTGCTGCAAGTTCCGGAGTGGGTTGTCTCAACCACTTGAACTTGGAGTGACTTACAAATGTATTCATATGTGATGGTGAAGGGCACCAATTTTACCAACAAAAATATGCACCTCTCACTCAGCAATATTACCCTTTTGATTATTTTATATACTCTTTTACCACGTGCATTACACGTGATATTCAAGTTTGGTTTATCATATAATTCAGATGGAGAGCTCCAAAGGGTTGCCCAATTATTCACATTATTAATGTTTTTTCCTTTCTAATTCCTATGTTATGATTTTTTGAATATTAGATTTTCAATTTTTTATGAAACTATTTTCAAATATTTTGGCATTATATTAGCATTAGAATCTTCTATTGGTTGGGGTATCCGGTAGCCACTTATGAATATATTTATTAGTTTTATATAGTTATTGTTTAGTTTCTTTTCAAATTTGATATTTAATCAGAACATCGAATATAAATGAGGCTTTATGAAAGGTATAATTTATAAATTTAACTTCTAAAAAAATAAATATAACGAAACTAAATTTTATCTTAAAAAAAAAAAAAAACATCTACTAAATCTTTCAATTTTAGAATATTTGATTTTGTTTATATGTAGGTCAATAGGGGATGTTTTTAACAAACTAATATCTAATTTAATTGGAGATAATATTAAGTATTCGATTAATATTGAATTAATCCAATTAGGATGATGTGATAAACACAAAATGGGTTTTTAGCGAAAAGAAAATTAACTATTTCTTATGATGATAATATGTAATATTTACTATGATATTGTTACCTAGAAAATTTTAACCTATTTAATTGACAATCTGTGAAATCTAGAATATTTAATATTCAAAGTTTCATTAGCATAAAATTAAGATGTGGATCAATTAATTTGTTTTGGTAAAGAAAAAACAAGAAAACAAGAGAGTTGTTTTGAGAAGAAAAAGTAAGGTAAAGAAATTACCATGCCATTAAAACGTCCCCATTTCTCCAATATGGGAAGGGATCCTTCCACAGAATAAACACCACATTAGAGATTTGCATCCCAGTGATGTAGTCCAAGTTTACTTATCTTCTGTTTTTTTCACCTTCCTTGTCGCGTGAAGAACCAGGAGGCATAAAAAATACTGCCCAGAAATATAGACTAGACAGTTATTCTTGATACGCTGATTCTAAAAATTCAGCCATCCAATGTTGAATCTAATAATTCTCAGCAGTATTCTAGGCCAATATTTAAAGAAGAAAATGGAAACATATTCTAAATTGATAAGGTATAAAGGCGTAGAGAATAAAGGTTATAACCTAATATTAAAGTCATATTGAATCAAACCTCTTATGCCGTAGAGATATCAGAAGTATACTTGCGTAAATTATAAATGTAAAACGGCTTAATACTATGGTCACTTCTGTGCCAAAGAAGAGAATATTACTTGGTTGCTGACAATATTAGTCTAGGCAAACTAGAAAGTAAGATTGCAGAGATTACATATCTTTCGTCCCAGAGAAAAGAACTCTGAGGGTCCCGGAGCTCATTTGCGAGCTTCTGCTTTCTTCTGTTCTTTGGCTGAAAGTGAGGGGGACAGAGTGGATATCAGTTTCAATGTTACAAGGAAAATGTTACTATAAGAACTATATAGTGATAGTGTTCTGTTGTATATATTACCAGCCTTTTCTTCTTCTCTTTTTTTAGCAGCTTCTGCCCTTTGTTGACGAATAAGAGACAAACGTTCTGCACAGCATATGGTGAAATAAAATTTCAACATCAGACAAACCAATTATGACCTTATTTGAACAGAATCTATTCTATAGGCTGTATAACTGTATCGTTGAGTTCTAAGACAGTGCAATGAAAGTAATGCCTTCAAACTTTTTTCACACCCTTCAGCAGAGCTACCATTAGTACACATGACAAAAGTTGTTCAGGACAGAGCATTGGCTCCCCATGATGTTATCGAACAAAGTGCATTTTGAACCAAATTTATACGATGTGAATGTGCAAGACGTGAATACAAAGCAAGTGCAACTGCAGGTGATCATTCTGAGCATTCCTATATGTTTTTCCCTTTTAACTCAGGAAAAGAATGAAAAGAAAATGCACATACGAATCTTGGATGACACATCGATAATAGAAAGGTTTCATCCTCAGAACATAGAACACACACTCAAACCAGAGAATTGATCATCGAAAGAGGATTACCTAAATCTTTCCTAGCTTGTTCAGTTTTCCCTTGTTCTTGAAGCCTCATGTATCGCTCATGAGCCTTTTGTTTCTCTATCTCCTCTCTGGAAAAAGAATTAAAGGGAAAAAAAAAACTATAAACTGTGTGCATACCTAAATCTATATACTGCGTTTCCAGAACAATAAACATAAAAATTAAGTAAATGCTAAATATTCGTTAAAACAAAGAAAATAGAACTTTGTAACAACCTTTCACGCCTTGAAAGTTCAGTTGTTTTCCCAATCTGCAAAATGAAGTGAAATTACACCTCCACTGTATAACAATGTTCAAATTGCAAAACCTTCCGTAAGGATGATTATTAAACTTACATCAATATCTCTAGCTTTCAAGGTTTTTGGCTTCACCAAGTTGGGATTTTCAATCTCAATAATACCTTGAGTGCCTTTCCTCTGGCAGAATTTAACAACAGATTAAGTGATTTAGTCTTGCTCAGCTCAAACAAACAACAAAATATGTAGACAATCAGACTTGTAGATTAAAGGAAAAAAAAAAAATGTGACTGAATACAAACTCTAGGTTTATCCTCGTCATCAGTTTCATCCCCCGATTCTTGTTCGGATCCTTCCTCAGATTCTTCCTCCTCCTTGTGTTCAGCTTCTACCTATAATAATAAATTAAATACATCATGTGCAGAAAAATAAGTAAATAGAAAGAACAAGACCATGCAGTTGAAGAAGCAGCAGCAGCAGAAGGAAAAGTTGCAACACATCAGAGTATTATCCATACCCAATTGACAAACCCAACTACCGGGCATTGTAATTATATGTTGTTGGTAGAGGGAACTAAGTGTGTGCGTGTCTTAAGATACAGAGAGAGAGAGAACCTGTTTGAACGTGCGTGGACGCGTGGAGGTTCCGGCAACTACAATTAATTCAGAAACTGAAGTTAGCAGTGCAATTTTCAGCCATCTTAAACTTTCTCAACAATGAAATTTTTAGTTAGTATGGTAGTTCTTCTATTGGTGAATCTTAAGAACGTAAGAACTCTAACCACAAGCGTATTTACATAATGCGTTGTGATAAAGTTTTGGGTTTTGCTTTAAAAGGTTAATTCATCGATACCATCCATCTCTACCAACTTTTACTAGTTTTGAGAAGCAATTCCAAAGAAAAACGCGTTCACCACGCACAATAACCACGACGCTTCATTTAGGTTACAATCATTTCAGCCTCCACATCAAAAAGTAAAACAATTTCCACAATCAACTAAGCCTAGATCTCACCACCAACCACCTCCTCATAGTCGGCGAAACTGATCTAAAATATAAAGAAGTAACATATAAAACAGCTAAAATCACTAATATATCCAGCATCATTCCAACTACTGGACTCTCCATGTCCACTACCATCTCGTATCCTAAAAACACAACTCGAATTCATCACCTCAAATATATAAAATCAACACATTAGGCAAGAAGACGATAGCACTCGCAGAAAAAGATCTCGTGATCTTGACTTTCTCGATAATCGACCGAAGGTGGTTATAAAGAAACGAGAGATAAATATTGCTTACGCATGTCTTCAGGGGTAGAGAATTGGCGCCGACCGGTGGGCTTGCTCTTGTACTTTCCTCTTCCCATCGTCAACGAAAAGCAGCAAGGAGAAGGTAGAAACGGACGAAGAAACAGAAGAGAAGCAGAATCGACGTAGAATAGAAGTCCCCTCTTAGCTTTAGTTGTGGAAGACGAAGTTAGTGACTTCTCCGCCTTTCCGCCGAGAAGAGAATTTATAGTTGTGTTGGCTTATTTGTTCCCGTCCCGTTTACATCTCTCTGCGGTGCAAATCGCCAACCGGATTCCCAAACCCTACCCGAACCGGCACCCAATAATCACCTGCTTATCCTTTCCTTTATATCTTCACCCTCCATATTAATAATACATTTACCATTATAAATAAATAAAAAGTGTGAAAACCTCTCTACGATGGATGCATTTTAAAGTCGTGAAGTTGACGATGATACATAATTAATCAAAGCGGACAATATCCGCAAACAGTGAGCTCGAGCTGTCACAAATTGTATTAGAACCAGATACTGAACGACGTGTCAGTGAGGACGTTGGACCTTAAAGAGGTGGATTGTAAGATATCACATCGCTTGAAGCATTTCTTATAAGCGTGTGGAAACTCGAGAACAAACGGTGGCACCAAGGGGGTGGATTGTAAGATTACACATTGGTTGAAATATTACTTCTAAGGGCGTGGAAACCTGAGGACGCTAGCTCTCAAGGGGTGGATTGAGAGATCCTACCTCGATTAAAACATTTAAACTTTTCTTAATAGATACGTTCTAAAATGATGCATACCAATAATAAATATATAATCAAATTAAATATGAACGGTATAGTTGATATTTGGTATACTTGTTACGGTATTTTGGGGAGGGTATATATGGAGAAATAACCCTCGGAAAAGGACTTTGGGAGGGAAAAAAATCTGGACATGGAACATCGCTTCTCCAGCAGCGAGACCATATTTAGCACTGTAAAGCGAAAGCCCTAGCACTCGCTCAGACATGGCCATTTCGCCAATGGCGTTGAGTTCGTCTTTTATCCACTACTCTCCTCTCCATTCCAATAGAACTCACCGACTGTCTGCTGTACCCTCAATTCATACTCCCAAAATTGTTCTGAAAAACTCAAGGCATTGCTTTTCTACAATCTCTTGCTCTGGTAGGAAGCCAATCCCGACGACGGAGGAAGAGGTTCTTCAAGCCGTGTTGGAATCCGATGAGAAGATTCTTCCTTGCGTTCGGACGTACGAGAATGATTTGTCTCGGCTTACTCTGGTCGGAGGCGTCGATTTCCGACAGTCTGTTACGGCAGCTGCGGCTGACGGCGGTGAAGCCGCCTCTGAGCACCTTGATTCTGGCATGTCTGCAATGGTTGTGGAGACTGTATTTCCGGGAACTTCAGACGAGCAAAGCACGGTCTCGACCCGGCTGGTGTGTTATTTGCTAACCTGGCTATGTAATTTGGTGCTCTATCTGCGAATAACAACTATGAATACTCATTGGCATCACTATAGTTTCCATATATTGGAATGAATTCGAGTCTCGACGTGAATGCGTTGCCCCGAACGTTTGCACCTGGCACGTTAGTTTCAGGAGTCGCCACTTTTACTTGCATTTAAAAAAAAAAAAAAAAAAAACTTATTTTGATTTCCACCATCGAAACAATTAACTCCGTAATTGATGTATGTGATTGATATGGTAGCGTTCTCCATCTCTAGTTCTTTGCTATCTTTAATAGCTCCATGATTAATATGTCCATTTCAAGTATTGTTCGATGTTCGCTTACAATTATGTCGACTGTAGTATAATGTTCTCATATATGAAAATGTGAGTCCTGTTGTATAACACAACAACTTAACTATAATCTGTCACATGGTATCTGTTCCTCCCTCTTTCTATAATATCGTCAATTTGTTAGCTAAAAATTAGACCTCCGATTGTACTTGCGTTCTTAAGTTAACTGTTTTAACAGTTTTTACCTGCCAGAGAAGTCGAGGAAAAGGCTAGGAATCTCAAAAAGTCTCTCGCTCAAGATTTTAATTTGAGTACCTCATCCAAAAATATACTTGCTATGACATTTAGACAAGTAGTATTGCAACAGCTCTGGAGCTTTGAACTGGTTATCTTTATACCTGGATCTGAAAGGAATATGGAAGATCTTGAAAATCCAAGAGAGGTTTGTTATTTCGCCTTATTTTCCTCTATTTTTCGTGTTTTCTTATTTTTTGTTTGTTTGAAAAATTGAAACATCACAGTAGCATGTCTATGCTGCAGGTTTCGCATGATACTGATAGGTTCAGTTCTCTTATGCATTTCATATCGGCAGGTTCCAATGTCTTTCACTCTCAGTTCATCTGAGGAACGAGTCATCTCTGTACTTGCAGAAGCTGTTTGCTTGTGCGCTCTTCGAAATACAGAAGGAAAATTTGTCAATGGTACAGCAAGTGGAACTTCAACTAGATTTTTTGATTGGTTCCGGAAGTCCACAATTGTTGCATCAAAGGATTCTTCAGTTATTATCTACAAGTTATTGGACAACGAGGTAGCTGATGCCAAAAGTCTATTACAAAAGTTTAATTCAAATAAGAAGAGCTGGAAACGTAGGAATTTCCAATCGAAGAACTATTGGTGGATGCCTTCTGAACTCTCTGAACTAGAAAAAATCGGTGGGGCTGAATTCAGTGCATGGGCTAGCGAGTATGTACCTTCTTACAGGCTACAAATTGATGCTCGTCAGTTCAATGGTTTAAAATTTGGAGGCTGGAGAGAATCTGCTGAGAATAGGTGGGAAGTCCTTTTGACCCACTCCCAAATGGTATTTTGATCTTTCCTTCTCAGTCGTTATCTTTCTGTATTATCTTAATGTGTCCAGTGATGGTATTTTCACTATTTAGCCTAGTTCAAGAGCTGTCTTCTTGGAGTGCACCTTTCGCCGAGGACAATAGTTATGTTATCATAACTATGTGTTAGACACACTCTTATTTCTCTACTTACCTATCGATCCAAAAACAAGATATGGACACGATAGTACATCTTCTTTATAGATTCAAGCATGGCGAGTACTGAACAAAATATTATCTTTATATATTTTGCACATTAATAATCTCAGATTCAATAATTTGTGTGGTGTATAGAATTAAGGATACAAACTTGTATTCACATCTATTCAATTTCAGGAAAAATTAAATACTAATATATACAACTTCAAGAATGTAATATTTTTGAACCACTTCTTTAAATTTTATCCAGTAAAATTTAACATTATCATTATTATTTTAGTTTCTGCATGTTCTTGTGCTTTTGTTCATGCATATCTCAGTTCCTTGATTTAAATATTCTTCCATGTTAGTGTTGCATGTCTTCCACATGTTCGTATTGAATCCAAGATACATTACATAGGAAGCACTCTAGCACTTTAAGGTACGTTAGACATGCAGACACTGTTTATAACAGTGTTCATACTTCTTATGCTAAGACTATCTGACCATTCGTTATGCAGGTAGGATTGGCGAACATATTAGACATTTTCTATGAAGATGTATATTCTCTGCCCGATAAACTACTGCAATGTGGTGCAATCGTGCATTCTGCTAACTTGTTAAACAAAAAGGTATCTGCTTGTATGTACACACACATATGTAATTATAAATGTATGTGCATTGTGCTTACTTGTATGTATGTATTTGATTGTATATTGGTTTCTTTGCAAACCATAAGGAAAGTTGTTTTCTTCTTTCTTCTGGGAACAAAAGTTGTTTGCTATTGAAGTTTATGCTCCACATGTTGCAGAGAAACTATTCCTCCTGGGGGTTTCTATCCAAGACTTTAGCTGGTGGAATTTTTTTTGTTACTATTGTTGCTGTTGGTCAATATTTTTTGCCTCGCGTTCATGTGTCTGGGAGGTATACTGTAGAACAGCCGGTTTCATCACTTTATGGAGTTAGCTCTGTGAAAAATCAGGCTATAGAAGCAGAAAAGGTATTCACCAGACTTCCCCTTTAATTTCCATTTTCTGACATAATCCACATTTTTATTGGGATGTAAAGTTTAATATATGAACTTTTTATTGACAGTTGGAAGAATACTGCATCTCAGTTGTAAATATTATAAAGGATGCTGTCGGTTGGCATGGTGATGTACACACAGATAAGAGAGTTGGTGCGTGGATTGGGGAAGCTCCTGATTACTTGAGGGTGGTTGAATCTGATACAGGTAGTGAAGATACTTCATCGGGTACGATAGAACAAGATAATGTTGGAGTGAAAGCTTCTGCTCAGGACATAGCTAGTTATCAGGTAATTTGAATTTTTATTTGTTTTTTCTACAGTCTCTTAATTGGGACAATTCAGGGAATGACTTACATGACTGCTCATTGCATTGTTTCACGTTTTGTTAAAAAGTGTGCAAAGACCTGAGCATTGTCTGCTCAAATGCAAGTAGTGAAACTTAAGCATGCTGATAAAACTTTCTTTCATCTCCTGGTAAGCGGTGTGGTAAACCGAATTTTGAAATATATTATTTCTGCAACGGGGTATTTTTTATCCTCTGAAAAATGAATCGTTAAGGTCTAGTTTTCAAGTTCAAATGAACTCTATTCACTCTATTCACTCTTAGTCATAGGCTATATATACATGTGTATTGATATATCCACGCTTAATAATCAGCTGCAAACTTGTGCTTCTCCTTTTGTTACTATTGAGAACTAATGGTTGTCGAGAATTTGAATTATTACTAGATTTGAAAATTTTCCCTTCTTTTATAATTGAATTACCCCGCCATTTTTTCACTTTTCTATATTTGTCTATTTGTGGACTCAAACATTTTGTATATTCTGTTGGATTTAAGTGTACATTATTTCCCAGAAAAGTATCGTTCTATTGGATTAGTTAGCTTTGCTGTTAGATGACATGGTTGAAGATTAAATATGTTGGGTGGTGGCACGGCTGGAGTCAAATTAGTTTTTCTCTGAAGTTATATAAACTTGGCTGAGAGATTAAGGATCCTAGAGATATTGAAACAAAGGAGAAGGAACTCCCACACTTCCTACTTCAAATAAGAACACAAGAATACTAGATGACTTTGGGTTTCATCTGCATTTCTACTCAGCAGACTTCAGCTCTATTAAGGTATTCATGAGAAGCCAATAAACAGAAATATTTCACCTTCTTGAATTTTGATCCTTCTAACTTTCCATATTAATAGTGCTGAAATTTAGCTAACATAGATTTGGCATCCACGATCCTTGAAAACAGTCTTCACAGAGAGTTCACCTAGTGATTCAAGTGTTCACCTCCTTTTATCTTCACCATTTGTAGGGCTGATTCCATGCAGCAACTACAAGAAATTGCGGAAGTCACAAAGTTTCACTTCATTCAAACTCTTTCGGGACAATATTTTCCAGGACTTGGTTTCCTCTTCCAAGCCTCACTGAATCTCCTGTGAGGTTATGACAGCTAAAGCAAGAAATTTCTGCATCTGTGCTTGCTCAACCTGCTATCCGCCCTTCCAAAGCCGGTTTATTACCATATTCTAGTCTCGTGTGATATCATACCCTGGGATTTATAATATGCCAAGGACTGGAGCAGCCTCCCCTTTTTAGTTCTCCTGTAAACTACCCTCATCTCTCTTTCCTATCAGAAACACAATGATTTTATGTCAAAGTTCATTAGGTTTGTTGTGAATTTTTCATATCACTTTACCATCAGCGCTAGGTTTCTCTGTTAAATTACCAGCATACAAACCTCACTGGATCAAAAATAGTGTTCAAGCTGACCAGACAGCCAACTATTCCAATCATCTCATGACCCTATACAACCTCTCGTTCTTCTTCCAAAATGATGGGTATACAAATCTTACATTCTTCGTCCAAAATGGTGCCAACTGCAACCCCCTTTTATGAACACATTCCTTCTATTTTCCAGTTTTCTCTTTCTGCCAGCTTCCAAAACTTTGGCTTTCAGGGGATACCCACCATACTTTTACCAGTTTTTAAGCCATGCTTATCCCTGTCAAAATAGAATTGTGTGATTTGCAAGGTGTGATGGACGTTATCTTTATCAATCCTAGAGCCTTCTTTTTAACCCACCTAGCCATATGATAGAGCATTTTACTTTGCATGTTTCTCAGTAGGATTAATAAGAAGGGAAAAGTGTACCGCTTGGCTTAGACATCTCCAGACTAAAAGGTAAAAAATATGAATCTAGATTTTCCGTTAAGAAGGATCAACAATCTTGGGTCTAATATCTAAATGCATCTCTATCTTCAGTTTAACTGATTGGAACGAAAGATCTCTCTCTAAAAGGGACTTTCATTCTACGGAGTTGTAGGCTTTCTCCAGATCAAAATTGAAAATCCTACCACTTTCCTTCGTCATCCTTTCCACAACTACCTCATTATCTATCTCAATGGATTTCACTATTTGTGTTCCTCCAGTCAGTGCCATCTAGCTTGCAGAAACCATAAATCAATTTTTTTTTTTTTTTTTTTTTTTTTTTTTTTTTTTTTTTTTTTTTTTTTTTTTTTTAACACATGTAACAAGCACTTATCTTCTTCCATCAAGTTAATTGGTCTGAAGTTTAAACCTTAATGGTCTTTTTGTGATATAACTTATTTCTTTTTAACAAGGCAAATTATATTTTCTCGTAGGCAAGTATAAAGTGTCCATTCCTTAAATATTTGTGAAACTGCTTCACAAAATTTTGGTTTGAAGATGTTTCAAGACTTGATAAGGCTTTCAGCACCTTTACCTGCAATATTGGTTAGTCTTAAATAGAATACTTCTCGAAGTCCAAGACTCTGCATAAGGCATGCTCAATATCAAAAGTTCTCTTACTAGAGTAAATGGACTATTAAGTAACTTTTGTTTATTTATTTTGATTATATATAATGTGCTTGCTCACCTGCTCGTCAAAACTTAGGTGGTCTTGTCGACTGAAGGAAAGATTGTAGGATTCCAACCAACCAGTCGGGTTGCTGTTAACTATTGGGCTGCAAATCCTTTAGCAAAACAATTATATGGCGGGAGGAATTTGTCCCCGGGTAAGCTAAATTCTTCTTGCGTGTAAAATCTCTCTCTAATAAATTGTCGTCAACTTGTGCATTTATCTTTCTGTGTATCAAGCAGGCCTTTTTGAATCTGGGTTAAGGATCAGACGCCCGAATGAGGTGATTGTGATAGAGTTGCTATTGTCGGTGAAAACTGATGCTTACTTTGCTTTGGCAAGGCCCACATATTAGTCAATACCCCGAGTTCGCAGGCAGCAGTATTTGATTTGCAGGAACGCCATTCTCAACATAAAATTTGGATATTTAGATACTAATGCCGCTCCTGGATAATCTTACAGGCTTCCAGCCCCTCCTAAAGAAGTTGCCACCCCATGCATGCATTTCGCTCAAATCTCCTCAATGTCGTCAATATAGATAGTCATTCAGATAGCGTTGAAAATTTTGTATTAATGTTGTCCAGATTAGTTTTCCTGTTTAATAAATACAGATGCTACAAGCAACTGTATGTATTACTGTGACACAACTCATGTAAGACAGACGATTGGGTCCAGAGAAGCATGAGACATCTGCTAAAGCTAGATTTAGCCTATTTGCAAATGAAACCTACAAATACCCCCTCCCCTTCAACATTTTTTAATATTCAGCCCACTTGCATTAAGAATATCAAAGACAGGATAATAGAGAAGGACGCAACAGGAAATGATGCATTGAATCTACATTTCTGATAATGGTTAACAAGGTTGTAACCTTCGAGCCATATACAAATTTCAATATCTTGAGAAATGACGGAAAAGATTACTCAAGATGTGTATGTTGACAATTGACATCAAATAAAATGTAAACTAGTATCATCCGCATACATAACATAGTGTCGGCGGATTACATTTACTCGAAATCCAGAGGACCTAAACCATTATTGGAGTTTGTATCACCAGCGGAAACAAATATGTATATCACTACTAGTCTTCTGCGGAGTTACAGTGACTAATAATATTCCAGCTGCAAATTGTAACCCAAAATATCAGGGAAACAACCTGCCTTGACGTTTCCAGAAGTTACAATCTCCATCATGAGGGTGTATCTGTTGCAGCTACCATGACATAAGTATCAGATGGTATACCACGAGACAAGAAAAAAAGAAAAAAAAAAGTTATTTATGTTCTTCGAGGCCAAAAAGAAAAACCGAATTCTGGAGGAATGAACCGTAAACTTGATTCCATCATATTCCGATTGAAACCATCAGCCTGCAATTCATTCAACAGCTGAGCTTCATAACTATGTAAGGTAATATTCGCTCAAATTCTCCACCAGGTAATCATATTGTGCATGAAGCATATAGTCATATGTTCCATTGGGTGGCATGACTCTATTTGCTGAGGGGTAAACATTTCCAATACCAACTTTTGTGTTAATTCTGGTCCTCCCCTTCACAAGGCGTTTATTATCAGGAAATTCAGCAGTCAGTCTCCCCATTTGCCTCTGTAAATCAGTAACTGAATCGTTGGTTACCTTCGCCTTGGAACCTTTTTTCCCATCGACATGTTTCAGCTCCAATCGATACAAAGCACAGGTGTCGTACTTATTAATTTCATATTCATAAAGATGCCACTCAAAGTGGTTCAGTGGCTGAGGATCCATATAATAAGATCTCTTCAGCCCTCCAAACTCATTCATCACTTGCTTTCTTGATTCATGCCAACCACGTCCACTGTAATCAGGCAATGACCTCTGCTTTCTATTCCCACTCTCAAATGCTCTACGAGGCTTATCAAAGAATAGCCACTCCCTAATCATCTCACCCTCCAGTATTGACAGATCAAAAAGCTCTGCAATATAAGAAAGAGATGTTGGGTAAATGTAGTTCAACGAAGCACATTTAACAATTGAATACAACTAATTTCAACTATGTTATAGTACGTGCATTTCATATCAATGCAAACATATACTAGACGCAAGAACTTACCAGGAGCATTCCATGGGGATTTTGCCGTGGCAGCTCCCTCACATTCAGGGATACCAACATCTTTCCCTTGTGCCTTTGCCCTAAGAGCAGCAAAAAGCAACCCATCCTTCAGACCAATGCCACCAGGTCGTAACACCGGACCCATTCCAGGAGGGCCTTCATTCAATGCTAAGGCAGTATGAAAACTGCTACAGTAGTCCCCACACCAATCCATCCCTTGGGCAGGTCGTGGGCAATCCCAAAGCGCACATTTTGGGCCTAAAAAAGCAGCAGGTGGAGGGCAAATGCTGGGACAGTAGCCAGAAACATGAGGAATTGCACCCTCTCCACCCAAACCTCTAGCATTAAGGATAGTGTAAAAGTTGTGCTCAATGCCTTGCTGTAAATCAAACGGATGACACTCCGAATGTGTAGCTCCTTCCAAGTTATTCATAACCATACCATGAACTCCTGATGGGGAGTTCTTGCATTGATCAACTAGAGGGAAGCTTGGTTCTTGGTGTATACGATTCACATTAAATCCCTGAAGTAGGTTAATAGTGATACTAAGAACCTATAATAACAAGCATGAAAGGCAGCAGATTTTCAAAGACGTACTTTCTTTCAATAAAAGCACAAAAAATTAAAATAGAAGGGAAGGAACCAACTTCCCCAACAAAATTTATATTCATGCAACTTTTAGAGTTTAAACACATTGCATGGTCAAAGTCCAGGTCATGGGGCAAGAGATAGAAAATCCCATAAAGGCATGTATCAATAACTCCATGCTTGTATCCCAATGTTCATCTGTGTTAGAGAAAGGGATGGTCAGGAAAACATGGTGCTGGAAGCAAAATTTGTAATTTCACCAACTATCATAGTTGACATGCATGGCGTGACTGCATAAAAAGGGTCTAGATGCATATCAAGTTCATTTCTTTGCTATGATTCCCATATCCAATCTAATAGGGCGTCAAGAATTGATCGTGGCCAAGAGCCACGTAGCAAAACAGGCAATAACTATTTTTTCCTGGTAAATACAATTGGATAATTCATTTTCAAATCTAAAATTGCTGTTTGCAGTTATGTTTTGCAAAAGCCGGAATCAAGACAAAAATAGCATGAATAGTTCTAAACAATTGGACCTTTCATCTTTCGTTTAAACATACTCCATCACATCCAACAGCTATCAAGGGCCACAGTAATAAAGAAAAGCGGAAAAGACAAACTGAGACACAAACGATGTAAAATCTATCCGTAAAATGAACATTAAAAAAATCCCACCTCTTGATGTGCCATAGCATCTCCAACCTGCAAATTTTGCTCATTAGGTTCAGGCTTAGGAGCAGCTAATGGACTAGACGCATCATCATCCTCCTCACAAAGTTGTAACAATCGACAAATGTCCGATGAAAATGACCCAAAACTTCCACCCTAAGTCAAACATACATTAAAATAATCATTATCCAAAAGTGCATGCCTTCTCATTGAAGTATTCATGATTCACCACTTAAATTCAATTAGGCTAGCTTTCATCATCAATACCACATACTTAAATTATGCAGATTATCATGTTTCTCTTCATCTTAAGCACTGAAAAGGAATTCAATATACTATGCTAACTTGTTGCAAAGAGGATGCTGGAGAGGGCTCGTTCAGCTCAGATTTCCACTCACGAAGCATCTGATGGACTTGTTCCTCGAGAACTGACACATCAACCGTGCGGCTCTCCTTCCTTGCATACTGCAAATCTACAAATATGTTTTGCAGATCATCGACCCGGTTCTTTGCCTTATCCTTAAATAGCTTGTGGGAAGCCGACTTGCAACTGGTCTTCGAATGTTTTCCCATTGCAGAACTCTTTAACTTTTCTTCTAGACCCTACGAGGTTCAGCCAAAGAAGTACATTTTAGATAACATCTGTGGAAAATCATCCATTAATTTCAGCAGAGAGGCAGCAAAACGAACCGACTGTGGCATACTGATGCTCAGAAATTCATCAAAGGAGAAGCGATATTAGTCCGAGCAAGTTCGATTTTAGACAAACCCATTGAAAAAAATAAAAAACCCCAAAATTCTTTTGAAGCAAGTTCGATTCAACACTAGTCCGAGCAGTGGTCAATTTCAGAAATAATCGGAATCAAGCCGATCCACATGAGTATGAGCATGAAGAAACCAAATTTCCGTCCGTGAGGCTAAATTAAAGTAATGGACACGAAAGAAAAAGGAAGCGAAGAAAGCAAATTCCATTATCAGATCAAAACCCATAGAGCAGACATAAAATTACCGGGGAAGTGGCAGCAAAGTTGGGAGCAGGTGAGTCGCAAGCCCTAGTTATGAACAGGGCTTCAAGCTGCCACAATATGGAGCAAGAAAGTGCAGGGACACCGGGTGGAAGAAGAGAAAAGAAGGAAGTGAAATATTCGCGTTGAAGGGAGTGATCGAAAAGCGGATGCTCTTCAGTCCAATACCTTCGATGCCCCAACTTTGTTCACTCTAAAATCTCATTTTGTAGCCGCGGAGAAGAGAGAGAAATAGAGATAGAGAGAGAAAGAGAGTTACAGTTAGAGATGATTTTTGGTTTTGGGAACTCTGTAACCATTTCGTCTTCCCTCCACTTTCATTCCCACCGTCTCATATGTCTGCCCAACCAAATTAAATTAAATTAAATTTCTCCAAATGTATATTTATTCACTTTTTATTTTTTTTATTATTTTTTTTACTCTTTTACTCTCTGTAAAATCCACTTTTTACTATTTATTTTCTCAAAAATTAATTTCTCCAAATCTTCCCTGTTTCTTTCATTTTCCAATTTAAAAGGCTAAAATACTTTCTATTTCTCAATTAACATAAAAATACAAGGGGTATATTCAGAAAATAAAATATTTTTAAAATCATAACTAACCCTATCTTTTTATACACATAAAACACATTTAAGATTTGACTAATTAAAAAATAATAGTAATTAACGATTAATCCCTACAATTAATTTAACATTAAAAGACAACAAACAATATATGATTTTACATTATGCTATTATTAAAAACGTGATTAATTTTTTATTTTTGTCCATGGGTTTCAGTGAAAAAATCATTATTTAAATAAGAAATGCTTTGCTTAGGAAAACAAGGCATGGAAAGGAAAAGCTAGAAAAAGGGTAAAACTTTTCAAAAGCAAACCAAAAAATAAATAAATAAATAAATAAATAAAGATTAAATAGGAGAATAAAAGAATAAAGGAAATTTCCACTATCCATCTCCTAGATTCCCACCAACTCTATCTCTTCTTCAACATAGTTCTCCTTTCAAAACAGAGAGATACCCAATCCAGCTCGGGAGAGTAATGATCCACATGGTTCTGTGTGTTATAATCATCACTTTTTCTGAGGAATAATAAGTTATGGACTATAATAATTTCATAAGTTCAGCTCACTCACACATCTCATAATACTCATCAAAGTCTCAGAATGTTCAAGTTTTATCTTCCCCACCTAAAGAATGGAAAAGGGAGTGATGCTAATCTTTGCAGAATTTAGAATTGTAAATTACAATATGATCCGCAAATCTACTTTTCAAGACCAAAAAGATAACACTTGTCTGTAAACCAAGGAGAGTAGTAATATTGAAGCACTTCTAGTTCTACCAGAAGACACAGA